AGTCTCATTGCAGAGATTCAGTTCTAATGGAGAAGCTAGGCAAGAAGATCAGGTACCAGCTTCTAAGACAAGGCTACTGAAGGTAGGTTTCATACCTTTCATCCACCTGTTCTCTCACAACAGCCAAAAACAGCACCAAGTCAACCCTTTCATTAAGGCCTTCAGCTCACCAACTTGACAGAAAGTTTAGCAGAAATCCATCTGTTCTTTTTGCTCTGTCAGTTTTCAGCTGGTTTACTGAGCTTGAAGCAGCTTATGGAGAGACAGAGTGGAATTCACATAAAGGTAGATAGTGGGAGAAGGCAGTCAAAAGTGGTAAGAAGAGACTTCTTTCAACAGCAAGAAGCTCACTTTGTCATGTAAACATCACCAAAAGGAAATAAAAATCCCCCTAGCCAGTCACTGGACCCTCCTGAGCAGCAGCACCAGGATACTAGGCAGTAGGAAAGCAAGTGCTGGAAGCACACAGGAAAATGCAAGGGGCCAACTACCCTTCTTTGGCAGTGAGTGACCTCCCATTAATTTTCCCATCACTCCTCCTTGTTATTGAAGAGTTCCGATTATGTCCAAGTGCTCTATGTCAAGTGCATATTAGATCTCTGAATAGTGCTTTATTTCCATGTTCACAAGCTTATTTTCCTCAAGATGCTGCTGAACTTCCCTGCAACATTACTGAGATTTCCACCTAAATAAAAAACACCACAGAAGACAGTTAAACAAACAAAATGAATGCTGAGGACTCAGGAATCTTCAGAATTCACACTGCCAATACAACGTCAATTTTTTATAAAAAGAGAGGGGAGCCTGCAGAGTCTATTCTGCTGACTTGTGACCATTGCCTTGTTGAGCTCAAAGGACTGGTGCTCTAATTCTCCTCTCCAGGACTTGTACTACATGACTGCAACAGCTGAGAGCTGTGCAAGTACTTGTAGCACTGCATGATCATGTTCTTCCAGCATTGATTCCAGTTTACCAAGGAGGCTTTTATCCTGAAAACATGTCCAAATAGCTCTGATCAATAATGTGTACAGTTTCCAAGCTAGTTACTTTGTACAAGAACAGCTCAGCTGCATTAGTATGGTGCTCCACCACACCAATAGCTTGCTGTTCCGCAGGATTAATTAGTCTGGCAGAGCACTGCACTAATGTGATTATGTAGCTTCTAATACCTGAGCTAGCTCATTCATCGTTTCTATTCCTTTGCTCTGAAATAAAGAGCTTAGATTTTGCTATTTTCTTAACACCTAAATAATTCAATCGCTTTTTTTTTTTTTTTTTTTTTTTTTTGGAAGAGAAAGGAATGAGACTTAGAGAAGACTCACATTCAGATTTCCCTATTTGAAAGAATGCATCTCCTGCCTCCTTGCTTCTCTCACTATTACCATCCTCTTCTAATCACTTCTTTTGCTCGTATCAACTGCCTATGAACCTGCAAGTCTTCCCTTTACAGCAGAAATAATGATTTCCAGCCACAGCCAACAGTGACAAGAGTCATCATTGCCTTCTACTCCTCCTTTTTTACAGATAGGGAACAGATATCACAGGAGTACTTGCTCAAGAGTGGTCACCTCTCAAATTAATGAGTGGAAGAACAAGAACACAGCCACCTCATTCACAGTATGGTGTTCCTGTCATGACATGGAAACTGAGACCAGTGTGAGGTACACCAGGTACCCAGACCTTGCCCGAGGTCATGCAGTCACCAGAGCATCAGTGGAACTGCACGAAGAACTCAAGTTCTGACAAAGCGCAAGTGTGCTGATATGCTCAAAATCAACAGTTCCTCTTTGCTCAAGTCTCCCTGAAGCATTTGGCATAAGGAAGACACTCAGAGCAGGCAACATTAGGTCATCCAGTAAAAAAACCAGCAGCCGCAAGCAACTGACAGCAGTTGTACAACGGGAAGTACTGGGGAAACCCCACTGCTGGCAGTACTGCGCTTCCTTTCGAATTTGCCTGTAGCACATCATCAGAAGAGAAACAGAGAATATCACAGCACCCATTAGTATCTCTGGTCTTTGGCCCACATCCCTTACCTGTATGGGCACACCTGCACACTCACAGGCCCCGCAGGTGTAACACAGTGGGGTGGCCCCCACACACAGACTTTTGGAGCAACTATATTGTTCTGACAGAGTGAAAAGCAGTGAGAACATCAAGATCTCCGCTTCTTCATGGTTCCACAAGTCTTTTACTTGCTACATAAGCATCTAGCATTTATTTTTCTACGTTTTGTCTTATTATGGTGTTTAAATCCTAAAAAAGGTTCAAGAATCTTTATATTTCCATCTTTTTAAAGTTTGTCCTGTTTCTGGATTGTCGTTTTGTTTTTGTTTTTTTTTTAATACAAAACAGTATGATACAGAAAAAATGGTTAAAATTTCTAAAACAAAATGTGGTTAAGAAATGCTATAAAGTCAAGGCATTTTATTGTTTTGTGACTGCAAATGATATTGTACTGACTGAACTTCTGAACACTTATGTCAACTTAAAATTTGAAACAATAAATAGACAAAATATTTGTAAGCTCTTTCCCCTCTCAGCTTTATGTCAGCATATTGAACAGACATAGCTCTTCCAGGACAGAAATGCAGAGAAGAACCACATTATTTTTTTACATTCTTTTCCTTTAAAGTAACTTGCTTCCTTCTGTAAAAATATCCACAGGAATAGTTTCAAATTTTGCGTTCCAGGTATATGACACAGATCACACAACGCAGATGCAATTTCAGGCTCAAAAGAGTATGAAAGCAGGAAGATTCTTTACATTTGCATCTCCAGCATGCAACCACCAGGCAGAAAGAGAGGAGCTTTAAAGGATAATTCTGGTTTCTGTGCATGTACAGAGGAGTACAAAAGTTCACACTTAAAACATTGCAGTTTAAAACTTTTTCTAAGAAGACCGCAGATTATAAATCCATCTTGACAGTAAAGTAACAATATAAAAAAGTAGACTAAAGCCTGCAAAGACAGAGAGAAAATCAACAAAAAGGCCAACACATGAATTGATGTGAAGCAAATTAACACAGAATAAGAAACACTGTTTAACTGTAAAAGGGAAAAAAAGTAATTTTTTTTTTAAGCAGAAAAAAATGAAACCAGGTAAAGTCCTACAAAAATGCAAGAGCAATTAAGTAAACGTGTTAAGGTCACATACTGAATTAGGAGGAAAAGAAACTCCCAGAAACAACATGTAATATTGAGGAAAAATAAAGATCTGGAAACTAAGTGCAGTCCTTCTGTCATCTCCTATGCCTGAACAGCCAAAGTTCTCATTTGAGGGGGCTACTGTGTTGTTGGTGGCTCCCGTGTAGAACTAGAGGAGAAAGATAAGAGACAGAAAGGAAAGGGAGGAAGAAATTGAAGAGATATTTGGTTATGTATGTATGTACTCATACATACATAAGCACACAACTATATGCACACACACATGCATCTATATAAAATAAAAAAACTTGAACTAATTGACACAGAGTGGGACCAGCAAGAGCAGCAGCATATTTAAGTGTTATCTTCTTCCTCTTGTTTATTTACTTATTGCAGTTTCTACACCACAGAGTCAGGTCCGTCAGATCTAGAGCCTCAGTACTTCTAAATACTTCTACATGTCAATTCCAGATAACTGGAAAAAGAGTTTGCTGGTATTTCTAACTGTTCCATATGCCTCAGGGAGGCTGTGTGACTAAAACAGAAGACAACATAGTCTATGGACACTCCAAGATGTGGTCTGTACTATGCACTCCTATGAGTTTCTCCCTTCACCTTTGCATTGGTCTGTACTACTTATGTAGTTGGCTGCACAATTTGCTAACTGATGCAAGGACTCTAGAGCAGAGAACACAGCTTGAGATTTGTGACAGCTTATTATCTGATTCTCTGTGTGATGTCATGGCTTACTTTTTGGACCACTCTGTACAAACATACAATAAAAATTAATTATTTCAAATAAGGCTAACCATGTTTCACAAACACGGCAATACTTGTAGTTGCAGTCTTATTCCTATCGCATTTCCATCACCACAGAACAGGAAACACATACTACTAATTAATTCATAAACCCTAATCTCTGCAGGCAGCTGAAATTGTCAGTTCAATAAATAAACCAGCCAGTACTGATAGGAAGTTGAATTGTATTATCAGCTAAATTCTTCTTCTGTCAGAGGACCCTGTCAAGCTCTGCTCATGACAGCGTTACCTAGACACAGTTTGATGAATTTCTGCAAGGAAGGACTTACAACTGGTACCTGAACCGACCGAGCAGCACAACCGAAAAAGACAGCTGAATTTGTCAAAACGCATAGTCTGACGCTTTATTGCTTTAACCTAAATTGACCGTATTTTGCCAAACGGCCTCAACTCTTTAGACAGCCGGTATCGCTGAACAGCGAACCGTACGAACCGGAGACAGACCGCGACATCTCCGGAGCGTTGGACCGCACCTCCATCCTGCACTCGCCTGGCGCCGGACAGCCCGGGGCGGCTCCTCGTCTGCCAACCGTGCGGCACGGGCAGGGCGCCGTTCCCCCGGGCCCCGCGGGGAGACACCCGGAGATCACTGGCCGGCGGCCGAGCCCGGGATGCCCCACGGGGCGCGAAGGGGGACCCGCGCCGCTCCTCTTCCCGGGCGCGGTTGTCCCCAGCCCTCGCCTGGCCCTTGCAGCCTGCCAGCCCGCGCCGGGCTTTGCTTCCTCCCCAGATTTCTCTGCAATAGCTGGGGGAACCCGGTAACGCCAGGAGGGTGGGAAGCGCGGCCAGCGCGGAGCCGGCAGCGGAACGCACCGCAGACCGAGAGGATGCAACCGCGGGCCACGACGCCGACCTGCGCGGCGGCTGCCGAGCGAGGGCTAGCAGAAAGACCCCGTTCCCGCAGGGAGGAGGAGGAGCCAGGAGGGGTCAGGGCTCCCACCGCACCGCCGCCAGTCCCGGCAGCGACCTGTTGCCCCGCACGAAGATGCCGAGGCGCGTCCCCGTGAGCGGGACCGCCAGCAGCCGCCACCCACCTCTTTGATTTTCTCCCTCTTCTGCCGGACGTCGGGATCGGCGGGCTCCTGCCCCACGGCGCCGACGGGCTGGCGGAAGAGGCGCTGGGGCAGCCCAGGGGCCCCAGCTTCTTTCCTGCCGCGGGCGTCCTGCAGAAGTTTCTCCTTGTCCTGGCGGATGTCCCTGCGGATCTCCTCGGGCAGCTTCTGCAGCGTTTCCTTGGCCTCCCGCAGAGCCCGCTCGTGGTCCGCACGGATCCGCTCCAGGCTGCCCGCGCCGCCCGCGGCCGCCGCCGCCGCCGCCGCCGGGCCGCCTCCGGGCTGCGGAGGGGCGCGGGGCTGCCCGCCGGGCGGCGGCGGCGGCGGCTGCAGGGCGGCCGAGTGGAAAAAGACGCCGCTGAGGAGCTTGGAGGAGTCGGGCAGGAAGAAGATGGCCCCGAAGCAGAGGGTGATGAAGGCGCTGAACACCAGCAGCAGCACGAACTTCTCCGTCAGCCGGAACGCGCCGGGGCCCGCCGCTTTCCTGCCCCCGCCGCCCGCGCCGCTGCCCGCGGGGCCGCCCAGCGTGCCCGGCCCCGCCGCGCTACCGAAGAGCGGCAGCAGGCTGGCGGCGGGCATGACCCCCGCGCCGCCTCAGCGCCGCGCAGCGCGCCCCGCCGCCTCAGCGCCGCGCAGGGACCGCACCGCTCCGGACGGCTCGGCTCCGCCGCCCCCTGCCCGCCTGGGCGCCACAAAGTTTCCTCGGGCGGGCGCGGCAACTTTTCCTTTCCCCGCCGGCAGCGCTCGGCAGCGTCTGCGGGGCGGGCGCTGTCAGCTCCAACCCATGCTGATGATGATGCTGCCGGTGATGTTGCCGCTGATGCTGCCGCCGAGCCGCCGCCGCAGCCGCGGGTGCCGCTCCCCGCTCCGCCCGCGCGGAACTGCCGGGCGGCCGGGGGCGGGGCGGGGCGGGGCGGGGCGGGGCGGCCGCCGGCCCAATGGCGGGAGAGGCGGGGCTGCCGGAGCCGCGGGTCCCGGGGCTCACCCGCGGGATACGCTGTCCGGGCGCTGCCCGACCCCCGCGGGCGGAGGGGCGCGGCGTCAGGGCCCGCCCGCCTCGTCCCCGTGGCCGGGGGCGGCGGCGGCGGCGGCGGCCCGAGGCGGGTGCGCGGCACCTGCACGTGCCGGCAGCGCACACACGGGCACCCACGCGCACACTTGTGCGCGCGCACACACGCGCGTGTACACACCACCCCCCCCCCCCCCCCAGCGGCGCGCGGGGCCGCTTGCGCCCTCCCGGCAGCGCGCGCTCTCGCGTGTTCACACAGGCACGCGCACAGAGCCGGGGGCGGCGCGAGAGGGGGCGGCTCCAGCATCCCTGTCCGCTGTCCGGCTGGGGGCACGGAGCGGGGCCGGGAATAACTCGCGATCCACCGGTCAGGAGGAGCTCTATTCTATTCTTTGTAAGAAAATCAGGGGCTAATTCTGATTGTTTAATTATTTACTTACTTACTTATTTATTTTCTGTAGGCGGAAGATGCATCTTTTGCAAGGAAGTAGGGAAATGTAGCTCTGTATGAAAATTCGAGCTTTCATCTATGCTAGTGCAAAATGAAAAAGCCGTCGTGTGTCGGCACAAGGAAATGTGTTTGATAGCGGATCAAATTGCTGCGTCAAGCTCCCCGAACATGCGGTGATGGGAAAAGTTTCCAAACACAAACAAAAAAAACCATAGGGATTTATTATTTTTGCTCGTGTTACAGAGCAAGGCAATCAACTGTGGGGATGTGAGAATCAGGGAAACAATAAAATGCTGGGTCGCTTTTGCAGGAAAAGGTAACCCAGCCAACACCATGGGGTTTATCTCCAACTCTGAGAACGTACTCGGAGTCTAGCTTGACTCTCACAGCAGTTCAGCACCACAAACTTAAACATTTCCTCCTAAATGTTAAGCATACAGTCAGAAAGAAAACAGTGAGATAGGTTGTTCCCAGAAGTTAAGATGCAGAGGTTTGTTTGCGTATTTGCATGGCTTTATTTTGCAAGGGAAAACAAAAAAACAACAGCAGAGGGAAGTCTGTGCTTTAACCAAGGGCAGGGAAAAGGCATTGTGTAAGCCCTAAAGACGTGATTTTGAAAATGGGCTTGGCATGGCTCTACTTTTTCTCCCGGTGGAATTAAGGAGAGTTTTACCACTGATTTAATAGGAATAAAGTAAAGCTGCTGCCCAGTGCTTTTCTAAATCCCATTCTTTAGAAGTTAGAATATGTAATAGGTTAATTAAAAACAGGTTTAGAGAAGACAGTTACATAGAAATGTTGGACTGAGTCCTGCAAAACTCCCCGAAGTATACAAGCAAATACTTCTGTAAAATTTCAAGATTATACATGAAACTGAAGAATCAGGGGCCCAACTTCATATCCAGTGAGATCAGTAATTTCATTTAATTTTTATTGTGGTTTTCTTTTCAATCATATTTTTTTCCTGACTTGCATTTCTCCACAGTTAGATGTAGAACTATTGCTTAAACTAAACAATAAGCAGTCTGATTTTGACACATATTTCCCAGAAGCGTGTAACGTAGTCCAATAGCTGTGCCAAGACAAAATTGCTTAGGATTGAAGAGTTCAGACTGCTTTTGGAAAAGGAGAAAAGAATCTCTGGTGCTTTTTTTTTTCTTTTTTCTTTTTTCTTTTTTCCTTTTTTTTTTTTTTTTTTTTTTTTTTTTTTAAAGCAACATTTAAGATAGCAAATTTGGGTTTAGCTGTTGAAAGACAGCTGACTAATGAAAAAGCTTCCTAAATGGTGAAATACCACTCAGCTTTAGCAAGCATATTCTGCTTCAATCACTGACTATGTGGGCGTACAATATTTTTCACAGATTGCCCTCAAAACTCATCACTACTTATGTGATAATGTTTGGAGGCAGAAGTTACTGCTGGAAGAAGTGCCTTTCTTCAGTACTCTGAAGTCATTCCTTAGGTTGCCATATATCTATAGCACTTCATGAATGGATGCGAGAGTTGAAAATACCATCCCATGGAGTTCTGCTCCTGTACCTCCTAAACTGGAGCTCTCTGAACTCATCAGTCTCTTGCCTTCTTTTGCTGTCCACCCTAAGTGCTAAGCTTAAATGTAGACCTGTGCCAGGGGCTTCACTGCCACCCTCATCACTGTCTTTGGGACATCCTGAGGAAGCTACAACAAGGATTTTCTATACAAAGACAGAAATTGTTAAATTCTTAACCTTTGTGATATGAAGATCATTGCAAGGACAAAAGATCACTTAGGTTTATGATTCCTTCTCTGAACAGGGTGTGAAATTTTGTATTCAGAGCATTCTTGTTGTTAGCACCTAATGTTACAGTTACTAGTAAAGTCATGTGGGAACTATTCAGTGGGACTATTGACTCATGTAAAGTTACTGGCATACAGCACTGTTCACTACATGAGGGCAATGGAGACTGAAAGAAAAAAAAAAACCCTCTTTCAACACAAGAGTGATGTACAAGTTCTTTGTATTTTTTGGTCAATAATTTACTTGAGGCACAAGGCATTCCAAACAACATGGAAATACAAGGAGTATCTCAGAAAAAAATACCTTGATTGCAAGTAGTAAAATGAAGGGCTGTACATGCTCAGTTTCAGCTGTCTGTCTCCAACAGGCAACTCAGCTATAAATTTAAACCATGTTGATAGGTGCTTAAATAGTGTCAAAAAGTCCAACAAACCAGGAACAAATGAAGCCTGGTGTTTTCATTGATCTAGTGACAGCAGTGGAAAGCCCATCTGCCTGTGCCAGGACTTGCACTGGAAGAACTTCTTTGGTAACAACTCTTTCAGCATACCCACCTAGTGGAAATATTGAACTGGCTGACACTTCAGATTGGTTTTTGTTGTTGTTGTTTGGGTTTTTTTGTTTGTTTGCTTTGTGGGGTTTTGGTGGTTTTTGCTTGGGTTTTTGTTTGTTTGTTTTGTTTTGTTTGTTTGTTTGTTTGTTTTCTAATTGAGCTACATTACTTCCTGGATGACATCAGCTAAAACGAGGAATAAAAACAAGTCTTTGGGCAGTTGTTTTTCTATGCTGGATAAGGCTGGGTCTTATCCAGTCTGGTTATATCAATAAAACACTGAACTGTATCCTTCCACTGAGGGAAATACTGCTTCTGTGGGTTCAGCAGCAGGATCAGGAATAATTTTTCAGCAATCATACATAGGTCAGGCATTTATAGAAAGGTAGAACTGGTACATGAGAGGTGGTGAGAGGGAGATTTGCATAATAAGGGACAAGGTTCTTTTCTGTAATAAATGTTCTGAATGGGGAAATTTGTTGCCTAAAAAAAAAAAACAAAAACCTCTTCTTAATTTTTTTTTTTTTTATTAAATCAGCTTACATCTAATTTGTCACAGTTCTAGCCTTAGATCTTTTCTGGTGATAAGGAATTAGCCCATATGGTCTAAAAGACACATGTAACAGATAAGGAGAGCATTTACAGTGTCCCAGTTTTAGACCCACTCAGTTGAAGCAGAGATACTGACTGATACATCTTTTTGGAGAGTGAGTTTGCAACATTACCACTCCCTTGCAAGGGGTTCCCAGTGTTACTTTCTGACTAAGACTACTGTAAAAATTTACTCAACAGCTTCCTTTTGAAATGCAATACTTTTGCACGTCTCTTCAGAGATACCTTTAATATGCTTGCCTTTGAGAATGTGATTCATAAGCCCAAGTTAGACATCCAGCTCTTCATAGAATAAGTAACATGACATAGACTTGGGGTTCCCAGGGTTCACAAGCTGGAGTCATAACACATAACATGCTGTTTGGAAGGAGGCTTCAACCGTTTGAGGACCAGATGTGTATGAAATGCTCTCTGTCTCTGATATTGGCGGTTGGCTGCAGTTCTAAATTCAGTATGTGAGGAAAGTGTGATTCACAACCACAAAAACTTTGCTTGATCTTCAGTGCTTTGAGAATACAGGGCTGCCTGATGCTTTTCTTTAAGAGCTCAGAAGAGAGAAGTGTTGCCCACTTATTTAGGGGTCCTGTGGTTAGAGCACTTGCTCAGGAAGTTGGAGATCTGTGTTTTACAAGATTTTTTAGACTTGGAGGATTCAAATTATCCTTTTTTGCCTTGCAGAAATATCCAGGAGAACACGTACACTCCCCACCACCTTTCCTTTTGAAGTACTGCTATGACTCAGAGAGAAGTGTGGTACTCTGAAGGCAAAGCAAAGTTTTCTGTTGAGTATTGCTTAACAACCCTGAAGTAAGAATGTTCTGCTCCCAGAGAAGCCTACAGTCTAAGAACTAGGGCACTGATTTGAGAGATGGAAGACACCAGTTTATCCCCTTCCCAGTGAGATGGATGTTGAAGATTGGTCTCCTATTTGAGGATGAAAAGCAGAAGAAAGAAAATTAAATTCTATGGCATCCTTTATCAAACGCTTCTTCTAGCTCAACACATGAGATGAATGTGGTTAATATCCAAACTTTATAAATACTATAGAAATAAATGTATGTGGAATATGAAGCTGTAGGCTCACAAACCTTCTTAACTTTTTCAACTCTTTTCTGACATGGCTGTCAATGCTACGAAAGGTCTCTTTTCTTCCAGCATCTTTGGAAATATCTTCCATAACTCCTCACATCCCCACCTGAGGGAGAGGATGATTCATTTCTCCAAATGAAATCTCTGTAGTGCATGCAGCTTTCAGCGTTCATTGGGAGGGTTCACTGGAAGTGCCCAAGTAGGCAGAAAAGCTCTGACCTTTCTCTCCTCCCTGAGATTTCAGAAAGCGCAGAAAATGAACTGCAAGAAATGCTGTGTGAACAAAATATTTGATTATTATTCTATAAAAACGTGA